GCTTCGCTTCAATATTGGAATTTTTGACAATGTCAATATGATTTTTGACATATTTTTTTATAAGAAAATTAAAATATCTTTTTTTTTTAATCTAACGATTTTGATTATTATCAGTCATTGAGTAAATGTTACAAAGGAGAGTACGACAAGCCCTAAAACGGAGAACCCAAAAGAGGGGAGTAAAGCTCAAACAAAAGGAACATACAGAATCGAGATAAATTAAAATCTTCTTTAAAAACAATGTTTGGACTTTGGTAGTTGCGTAGTTGAAAAATTTACGGTATAAATTGAAGAACTTGAGGTTCCAATCATGGTTGGCCACTGATTTTTTTTCAAAAAACTTGAGAATTAGGTTTAATTTTGGTTTGGAATTTTTAGTTTTATATATAAATAATAAAAACCAGTAGTAAACCTTTAAATAAGCTCTTTTTTTTGAAATTTCTATCGACGTTTTATACGGACAAATATATGTACAGTAAATGATATTGGAAGTTTATTACAAACTTAAGATTGTCGGAAAGAATAATCCTCTATATATTAATAGAGGAGATATTAGGTGAAAAATCATTCTCAACTACACCAACTATTAGTTAATATGTTGTAAACCATCCGAAGTATTGAAATATTCTCTAAACTACACAAATTAATATATAATACATGTTGACATACACTAACTATACGTAAACATGTTAAAAACTACAAATTAGATTTTTTATAATTTTAATTCTATTTTGGGGTCAATCTGTATTTATTTTCTAAAAAATCATTTAAAAAATCAAAAAAAAATAAAAATAAAAAAATCCGAAAAATAGAGGAAAAATCCATAAAAAATTACAAAAAATTAGATAAATTAATAATTCAATTTTCAACTAAAAACACTAAAACAAAATTCAATTTTGAAATTAAAAAAAAAAACTAAAATCCCAAAATTTCTAAGATTCATAAATCTGAAATTTACAAAATAATTCCTAAGTTTAACATTTCTAAAATTTATTACAATACAATTTTTCAAAAATCGAAAATTTACCAAAATTCAATGTATGGTATATATCATTATACATGCAATTTTGAATACCAGAGTAGGATATGTTTTCTTGTCTTTTGCACCATTAGGTCAACCATAAGGTTTCCAAAATTTAATTTAGGATTGATGGATTTCCAAATTGGTCGCTAAATTTTAGGATTTTTTACAAATTTAATTTGGTTTCCAAAATTAAT